GACCCCTGTGCAGAAAAACCAAAACCCAGCGCGCGGGGGGGGGGGGGAGGTTGGAATCCCAGAAGAACCAGTGCAATGTACAGTGTCCAGCAAAGTGCCATTGCGGCAATTCCAGCTGATTGCAAGCACAGAATCACAGTCCAAGCAAGGGACAAGAGTTGAAAGCCCAGCAGAACCAGCATAAAGCCCAGTGTCTTCTGTTCATAATATTAACAAAGGTTTGCTATTATACTACTCTTAAATACATTTGGTCATCAAGCAGGATAGGGATGAGAAGTTCTTGAGACCAAGAAATGGAAATAAAGGGGGGGGGTACTGGAAAATTAGATGGAGACATAAATGAATGAGAAACATGTGGAAAAGGGAGAGAAATTAAGAGATGGAAAGGTTGTTTTATCTTGCTGCAACACCCTAATTACTGCTTTGCAAGATCTGGTTGAGCTGGGTGTGAGGAAAAGAAGAGAAAAAGGCTAGACTGTTGGAGAAAATGACCTGCAGGCTGGCAATTACTGTACCAGCTCTCAGCATACTGTTTTGGTTGTACAATTTATTAAGCAAGTTTGCTTCAGTTTTGGAGAAAAGGAAGTCTAGCTGATCCTAAAAAGCTTTTTGTTATGCTCAGACTTTACTGTGCTGCAGCCAGAACTGGGTTTTAAAAATAAAAGGAAAACTGTTCAGCAGTAAAACATGATGCTGGCTTCAAGGGCCCACCTCAAGGTGTGGCCAAGGTGGACCACACCCCCACCCCACCCTTGGCAGGGCTCATTTCCTGCAGAAGCGCACAGGAGAGGAGCTCCGGCTGTAAAGAGCCCAGGGGGCGGGCACATGCAACAAGCCCCACCCCCTGCTCCCAGCAGCCCTCAGTCAGAGCAAGAAGCAGCCAGGTAAGTTGCAGAGCCCCCCTGCCCCCCCCACCCCAAACAGTCCAGTGGCACCTTTAAGACCAAGTTTTATTCATGTACAAGCTCTCCCTCTTCTGCGAGTACAGATCTGCACATCCCCCCCCAATAGCTAGCAATCCAAAACAGTCCAGTAGAGCCTGAGCGGTGGGTGTTGCCTTCTGACACACTTCCGGTGATGTCAGGGGGTGTGGCATATGCAAATAAGTTATGCTAATGAGTTATGCTAATAAGCTCCTGCACCTCTTTTTCTACTAAATGACCCCTGACCCTTGGTGTACCACTGGCCAAACCCAGCCTTATTGAAAAATTTAACATGTACTAACATATATTTAAAAACCATTAATGGATTCATTATCCTCAAATAAACAAATCCTTTCCCAATTGTACATGCACCGATGGACCCCTTAGCATTCAATGACAGCTCCACAATTGGCTGTTCTCTCTTGCCTCTTTCAAATACTGTAAAATCATCCTTAGGACCTGCATGCTATTCTTTTTTAATCACTACAATATCATTTTGTTCCTAAAAAAAAAAGGGTTGGATCATATTATTCCCTTCCAACAAATGATAAATTTTGCTGCTGTGGAAGGAGACTTGCTCATTGGAGGAGGCTTTCTGTGTGACAGCAAAGTTCCTTACTTTGTGGAGGACAGCTTTAGTATCCATGCCATTTTGTAGTACTCATATTTTAAACTCTGCATTACATGAGTAAAACAGAGTATAATTATAAGCACAAGAAGGCGGTTTTTTAAAGATGCTTTGGGATTGTTTTATCTAAGATTCAATCTATATTAACTTTTGCTCTTAGCAAAAATTTGTAGTCCTTTACATGCAGGTCAGGAAGGAGCTTTGTTATAATTTCTGTTAAACTATAGGATTAAACAAGAAATTGACTTTGAAAGTAGTTAATGCTTTGAATGAAACTCATTATAAATTGACCTTGGTGGTTTTCTCATTCAGAAGCTATTCAGCAACTTACAGGGTTGGGATTTGTCTGCTAAAGCTTTTTAAAAATACAAACTATAATTGCAAAGTGCCATAACCTTGACAGAATTAAACATCTACAGGCGTTTGTTTGGTATCACACATTACACAGCATAATAAGATTTGTCTGCATTACTTACCTCGCTTATTTGAAAGGCGTGACTTTTTGCAATGGTAAGCAAGCTCCTGCTCACAGTGTTCTGCATGGTTAATTGTAGCCTGAAGCTGTTCTAGGTTGGCAGCATATTTGAAAAACACAGTATGTGGGTTCTCTGGATTTGCACTTTTGACTCTGGTTAACTCTGTGTTGTTGTGCTGTATAATTGTCCAAGTGGTGTCTTGCAAAAAAAAAAAAAGTCAGAAAGCACAATGAAAGTCAAATGTGCACACAGCAATGCACTATAAACATATCTGTTGCAATTTCCTGAGATGTAAAGGGATGAAAACCTGGAACTCATTTAGGTATATCCAAGTATTTCTGTGCACAATGAGTATTGCCCCCCCCGAGCCCCAGGTCATATCACAAGGTAGCTTTGTTGTACTTTTATCCAAGAAACACAGACTGTGTATTGGAGCTATTTATTTACTAAGTTATCTGTACTATAAGATAAGGTTATCTGACAAAATTAGTCATAATTAGTCTAAAGGAATTGCTCTGTTCTATAAAATATTACCATAAATCAGTGTGAAAAGAATAAAAACAACAACTTTGTACCTTCTTTGCAAATGAAAATCAAAGGTGAATTTTGACATTGTAGTAAATATGTGGTAAGCAGTTTATTTATAGCCTGAATTTATGAAATAGCAAGCACCATTTCTAAGTCATACTTGAGAGAGATAGGGAGGCAAGTCACAGCAGGACTGCATGAGTGCTCCTGTTGGTTTTGGGGTATTGCTTCATCACATTAGATTCCCCCTCCCTTATTATTTCCCAGCATGTCGTATATTTGTTAGCTTCTGAAGGTTTTTAAAAGAGTTTGTTTAGAAGTGCATGAAAAGATTTCCCCTTACTATTTTCACTAAGTAAATCAGTCTTGTGAGTATGGATACGTTCCTGTGAATCAGTTTTGCTAATGGTGGATTATTCCCCTGGTGCTTGGAATTTTTACCAGCACAAGGACTTTTGTTCTAGCAGAGCCCACTTTTTTTTTTAACCAGGGAAAGGTTCTATGTGTTGATCAAAGGGCCAACAATGAGTGAAACTGATAGGATCCTACCCAAGGAAAACAATCCCAAGCAGATCTATTCATAAGTAAGTCCAATGTTATTCAATGGCACATACTGCCAAGAAGTGGTCCTTAGGAATACAATCAATGTCCTCATATGGTGATAGCACTATTTACTAACAAATAGAAAGCATTTTTTTTGGTCAAGGTATTGTAAATAACAAAATAGGATGAATCTTATGCCAGGATCACGAGTGGTAATGTTGAATTCATCCCAATCAATGTGTGTTGGTCATTCCTTGTGGGGATACTTTAGAATGTGGGAAAGGCAAAAATGTGATTAAAATGTATGATCCAGGTATTTCAGAGAAGGAGGGTGCAGAAGAGGTCCTTCTCCTGAAGTATGGGGTATAGACTCCAAAATATTTTGTAGGGGCAATTTTCTGTTCAAACCTGAGATGTAATGTTGACCTCCCCTGCCTTGATTTCCTATTGAGACTCCCCTTGATTGTATGTCTCTGTTTTTATGAATTTTACCGTTAAAGTTTATTCTACATCCCAAAATATTTCATTTTTAAAATTTTCTTTTTGTGGAATGATCTGTATGTATAATGTATAATAATAATAATAATAATAATAATAATAATAATAATAATAATAATAATAATAATAATAATAATAATAACAACAGATGATGATGATGATGATGATGATGATGATGATATTGTATGATCCAGGGGTGTCAGAAATAAGGTCCAGGGGGCAGATTTGGCCCATCCAGGGCTCTTACCCAGCTCGCAAGTAACTGGTGTGAGGGAGGGAAGGCAGGAGGCTGCTTGGGGGTGCAAACAGGTGCATGTGGTGTTGTGTGTGTGTGTGTGTGTGTGTGTGGTTGATGATTTCAAGAAATAGACAGGAAATGGCAAAAGTGTGGGACTAAGCAGTTTAGTTTAAAAGTGGGGGGGTGGAAGTGAAGGCAGAGAAAGAGAGGGTGTGGTATTTTTCCCCTCCTGCCTCCTCTGACCACCGATCAGTGAGGATTTGAAAAACCACTACATGGGGGAAGAGCCAATTGGACAGCACTGCCATTCCTGCATCAACCAGCTTTGCATTTTTTCAAACCTCCCTTCTCTCCCACCCTCCTGTTCTAAGCCCATGAAGGAAAAGGGGTTGCAGGCAAGATTCCCTCTAAGCTGTGGAGTCTTGTGAGCAAAAAATCTACTTTGTCAGCTACTGGTAGTAAAGTTGTGAGCGAGCGATTGGGCTATACTGCATAAGTCAGTTTGCTCTGGAGCCATCCTTCCTGAGCTAAGACAAAAATGTGAGAGCCGGAGGTTAAAAGATAGTGAGCTAGCTCACACTAACTCAGCTTAGAGGGAACACTGGTTGCAGGAGGTCAAAAAGCCCTCCCTGGAGGTTTCAGAAACAACCTCCCTGTCAGGCCTTCCCTCAGCCCCACTGTTTCTGTGGGAAATGCAGGAGAGATAAGAATAGAGGGTAGGGTGAATACTAAAGATATGCAGTGAATCCTCAAGCTATTCTAGTAAAAGTGAGAGATACATCAGTATATCTAGATTAGCGCCATTCCAATCTCTGCCAGTGCAGTGCTGGAGTGACTCTGATACAAGGACAGAATTGAGCAGCATCATGGATGTTTTGGCTGGGGGGATTTAGGATTGGGCTTCCAGTGTTTTATACTTCAATTGTCTCATATTACCAGGTTTTAATACATGGCCTTGCTGGCCACCAAAGAAGGTCAGGTAATAAAAATGAAAGACATCAAATAGATCATTCTGATGTACTAGATGCATAAATATTAAATGTTTTCCAACCTAAAAAAATGCTTCTTTCCTTGTTGAGCAAAAAATAAAGCAAACCTGCTCTTGGGCCACCCAGACTAATTTCTATCTCATTTTATAGTAGTGTTGGACTGATATTTTGCCCTCTATATTGCAATGACATTTATTGTCTTCTCCATTTTGTCAGATAAAAGGCTGTCCTTTTGTGTGCTGGGAGAAACTGACCCTCTGTGCTCTCCAAATAATGATTTATAACAGTGTAATACAAATTATCCTATTTTCTAGAAAACAATGATAGGGAACTGGCAGCTTGCTAGGCAGGACAGTCAAATTTAGAACCAGCTGCTCAGCATGTTTTTGGATACATTTTGTCCAACTTTATTTTATTAGTTAATCATTCTTTGCCCTTGCTAGATTCCTACCTTATGTAAGCACTAACTGGTATAATATTGGCCAATCCATTCAGTGAATGTATTTATAGACATAGTCTCCTGAGAAACTGAATCAATATTTTACAGTTAAGTCTTTTAACTGTGCTGCAGAACAGGACACCTTGCCTTCAACTTCCTTTATTTATGAAAGCCTGGGAATGACTGGCAGCAAGAAGATTTTTAATGACAGGTAAATCAGTTATAGCAGGAGGATGAAATATAGAGATTCATGTCTCTGATAATCAAATACATCTTTAATGTTTATCCATTAGTACATGGGTTTGGGTCAATATTTTGAAAGTGCATTCAGCGACATTAGCTGGGCAGATTTCCTGACTGTCTTTAAATGCAAAACTACTGGGAACACATTTGCAGCCTTCTAAAATTGCCTCCACAATCCTAGAAGAACAACCTGACAATGTTTCTATGCAAAGTGTTGCCATCTGATTTGAGGCTTTGGCCCACAGCCTTGCAATATTGAAAGTGACCTCCAAGAACAAGGCAGGATAGCATTCCCTTCCTTTCCAGATGCCTGGAGAAGAAAGCCACATGAATATCAATGACAAGGTAGCAGCAGACAAAATGTGGGCATCTGCCTCCATTGCCTCTGGTGGGAAAAGGGAATACCAGCCATGAGGAAACAGGGAACAAAGCAAATACTGAAGATTCATGCTGTCAGATTGCATCTCTTGATGAGGAACTGATCAATGAGATTCACTTAATGTGTTGAATAAGGAGTGACTGATGAGAACTCTAGCAGCTGTTCCTGGATGCTCAAGGATAAATCAAACTGCATTTTACCTCAGAGGCTTGGACACCTTCTGACACAGTTTAAAAATCACTGGAGTGCGTAAACTGCACCTCTTTTCCCCCTTTGATTTGGTCAAAGATTAATGAATAGTTGTGCCTCTCCCTTTATAAGTAGCATCTTGATTGCTGCAGCAATGAATGTCTAGAGTTCAATATAAGCAGGACACTTCATGGTCCTGGAAGTGCTTTGTAATTGAGATGTCTTCCGGTAAGCCTCTGGGAACACAGATACCTATATCCATGGCTTTGTGTGTGTGTGTGTACAGTACTCACAGGTACTGAGAACTGGCACCTTTCATTGTGCCAGCTGAATACTGGCTTTCCCAAGTCCTGGTGGAAATTAGTGCTTATGAAAGTTGCTACCCATTAGGTACATGCTTAAAAAATTATGATAAAACTAAATCCAAAGAGTCATAGAATGTAATATAAGTGTGTATTCTAATAAGACTCTGGTTCTTAACCCACCTTCATAAAAATTAGGCCTTGTTACATAATTGAAACATTCATAATTTTAATGTGTGCTAGGCAGGCCTAAAGCTCTAAGAGAGCCACAGCCCTAGGCCCATTCTGCACCTAGCATTCGCTCTGCTGTTCTACAAAACCCACATTGAAACTGGAATTCCCCTCTACATTGCATGCCACTTTCACTTTGATTGTCAGATTTTATGGTAGCCTCCACACTGCATGCCAGTTTCACTTCCTTTGATCTCTCGGTTTTATGGTACTGTCTGTATAGATTTATGGCCGTTTTATGGCCATTTAGGGGTGACTCTGCAGTCAATACGGCATTGGCCAGAGGTATTTGAATGTGGTTTTGAGCCACATCTTTTTCTGTTCCACTGTGGGTTTGGTAAAACAATGGAGCAAATGCTAGATGCAGAATGGGCCCTAAATACGTTTGTATGGAATCAGGTTGCATTGAAAGGAATGGGTTTCCCTCATAGTGGATAAACTGTTGCACTTGTGGAGGTAAAAGCCGTGATTAAGCTTACCTGGCATGTAATATCCCATGGGCCCAGAAAAACTCTAGGGAAAAACCCAGGAAGCTAAGGAAGCAAGAGTTCCAGGAAGCTAAATGCTAGAAAATTCAGAGGTAGTGCAGAACAGTCAACAGAACGAGAAACCAGAACCAAAGAGAAGGGCAAATGAAGGCAAAGTATAGCTGAAGAAAAAGTAGGGTTGCCATCTCTGGTTTGTGAAATTCCTAGGGATTTAGGGTTGATGCCTAGACTGATTTCACACAAGAGCTGTGCCACGGTTGCGCCTCCCTTTGCCCCACTTCTATTAGTCAATTTCACACTCAAAGCCGCCCGGCTGCATTTTGACCCGCGGCTTCGCCCGATTTTCCCCACGGTTCAGCTGCACGGCTTCGAGTGGGAAATTGACCAATAGGGGTGGGGCAAAGGGAGGCGCGACCATGGCGCAGCTCTTGTGTGAAATCAGTCCTACTGAACATGGATTTGGGGAAGGGAAGTGAGCTCAGCAGGGAGGCAGTACCATAGACTCCACCCTACAGGGCTGTCATTTCCTTCAGGAGAACTGATACCTATAGTCTGAGGATCAGTTATAATTCCAGAACTCTAGGTCCACCTGGAGGTTGGAAACCCTAGGAAAAGGGCAGAGAGATCAGCAAACTGAGTCAAGAAGTAGATAACACTACAGTTCTGAAAAATAAAAGCACTTCAGGAGACGCTACAGGAAGAGAGTGAAGGAGCTAAAGAAAACTAAAAAGGTTGGAAAAAATGGCTATAGCATGGCTAAAAGAAGTGGGGTAAAGCAGACAGTGAGCTCAGAAAACAGACAAAGGGATACAAGGAAACAATGTGCATAGATATACAAAGGTAAAAAAGGAGACCCTATCACAAAGTAGGAAAGGAGTGAATTCCTAGGGACAAGAACACCCTGACTATTGTCAGAAAAGAAGTAGAAAGACAGGTAGGTTTGGTGGTCTAGTTTATGTACAACAGAAAGATAGAGGTGCTAAATACAGATTATAGATAATTTAAATTATTCACAGCAGAAGAATTCTATGATCTATAGCTTTTACTGTTATTGCAGCACTGTGAAAGGGTAACTGTGATGGACAGGAGGCTGTCCTGCACCTGGAGGGAAAAACAGCCATTCAGCTGAGCCTATGGGAGTGCTGCTCCATCATCCAATCACTTTTCAGAAGGAGGATGGAATGTTGGAGGGAAGCATAGGAGGAGAGAGTTCAGGTCTGTCTCAGGGGCGAGAGCAGTGACAGCTCAGGTCTGGCTCAGGAAAAGAACAGGCAGTTTGAAGGGTAGCTCTTCCGGCTATTGTTGCAGAGTGAGAGAGAACAGAGTACCTGATTGTTAGGCCTGTCTCTGGTAATGAGCAGACCTTGTACCATTTAGTCTGATTCTTAGGAAAGAGCAGGCTGGTGTGGGTGAAATCCTGTATATGTGTGTGAGGATCCAACTTAGTGGCTAGTCAGTAAAAGCCTATTTGTACCTGTAAGCTGTAAAAGAGAATTCAAATCACACTCAGAAGGCATAACAAACTTAAATTTATGTGCCCATTTAGATTTCTCCTTTGGAGACCTGTGATGCTGTTTTGTTCTTTGAGACCAACCTGTAAATATCTTCTTTGTTATTTATATACAACTGCTGTCTCAGTGATCTCCCTGTTCTACTTGCTCACCACAAAGCTTACTTCATGGCAGTGAACCCAAAGCATTTACACTTGCCACCTGTAGAACATCTGTTAACTGAGGGGAATGTGTATAGTTTAAAACAAACCTGGTTCTCCAAAATCATAAAAAGGCCATGTGGGTTCTCTCAGTAGCTAGTAAAGGCCTGTCACAGTAAGCCTACAAAGGTCAAGATGAATTACTGGGGATTAAATTTCATTTAATTAATTGGAATTCGTTGGTTTCAGGCTAGAAATTTAAACAAATTTGGCTGGATCATTCCTAGGGTGTTTAAAGTTAGACTGTACATTATTCAGAATTAATCATTATTCATTTACTTTTCTGTATATCCAGGAAAATCCACAATACCATTTTGGTACTTCAGTTAAGATATAGCTAGCAATTGTAATTATCAAATGTAAACATGGTCAAATTCCATCATGTGACTGCTTCTTTAAGAAATGTGCTTTCTTAATTATGATATTGACTTTGACATTACTTTGCAGGACCTTAATGAAGAGAATTAAACGCTTTACAAATGAAAAACATTGTGAATAGGAAAGCTGCTGCAGACCCTTTCTTTGGTACTCATCATTGGGTTAGCCGTTTTCCTTGAATATTATCCAAAAAACACAGGGAAAGAATGGCTAGATTTTAGTCCAGTAGCAACTTAGAGACCAACCAGGTTTTTTTTTTTGGGGGGGGTAAGCTTTTGAGAATCAAAGCTCTCTGTCACTGTCTGCAGTCACACACACTAAATAATCCACTTTCAATGCACTTTCCAACTGGATTATGCCAGTTCACACAGTAAAAACCAGTTGGAAAGTGCACTGAAAGTGGATTATTTAGTATGCATGACCACAGCCACATATGAGAAACTATTTTCAGGTAAAGAATAGGAAATTGTTAATTTCTCCCCCATTTTTTAACAAATCAACACATTTGAGACATTACAACAGTAAAATATTTATATTTTAGTTCCACATTGGGCCACTGTAAATATTCCTATTTTATATTTGCTTATCTTTTCATAATTTAATTTATGTGGTTTATATAGTAACACATTTCTGCAACAGAATCAAGTAAAATAATACATCAGTATGATGCTTCCCCATGTGTATGCAGTGGTTATATACAGAGAGACAGCTGGGAAGCAACCAGATTCTTGTTTCTCCCCTTTGACCACATGTAGAAGAAGAAGAAGAGAAGAAGAGATTGGATTTATACCCCGCCCTTCACTTGGAGTCTCAGAGCGGCTTACAAACTCCTTTCCCTTCCCCTCCCCACAACAGACACCCTGTGAGGTGGGTGGGGCTGAGAGAAGTCTGACACAAACTGCTCTTTTTCAAGGACAGCTGTGCCAGAGCTTGCAACTGACCCAAGGTCACATCAGCAGGTGCAAGTGGAGGAGTGGGGAATCAAACCCGGTTCTCCCAGATTAGAGTCCAGACACTTAACCACTACAACAAACTACAGGAAGCATGCCTCAAAAGTCAAAGGAACAGATGGTCTGTGTGCATCTTCTCTATCAGTGTCCAGCCCTCTGCTTCCAGTCCATCAGGTTATAGGAGCTCCTTCAAATTACACAAGCTTCCACATGTGCCAAGGGGGAACAGGAAGAATAGGGCAATAATTTTATTTGGATTCTATTGTATGTAGTTGCTGTGCTTGTGCTGGGTAGGAATATAGGTAAGTTCTTTACAGGGCAACTATGGCCTGAAATTAATACATATTTATTGAAATCTTGTACATCGCCCTGTGCCCTTTGGGGGAGGGCAGTCTACAAGTCAAATAAATAAATATTACATGAAAATAGATTGCAGGAAAATGTGTGTGCAAATGATGCATTGATCACCTTTTCATTACACATGTTGCAGCTGTTTATCTGCAGCAGTTAAAATCTAAACAAAGCTCTACAGAAAGGCACTAAACAACACACCATACAAGCAAAATACTGAAATTTTGCACAGAATAATCCTGGAATAAAAGCACAAATAGCTTGCTGAATTTATTCACAATGAAATATTCCAATATAAAGGCACAACCATCCAGACAGATAGAAATAAGACTCATTAAATGTCAGTGGCATGCAGCCTGATGCCAATCTTAGCCAGGTCTACCCTGAAGTAAAACCTGTTTTGTTGAATGACACTAACTTGCCAGCCTACATAGGACTGCTGCCATATGCATGTGTTTAACTTTCCAAAGAACTTAAAACATGCTTAATTCTGACTAGATGAAACTACAGTCTCAAAAGAAGCAGTCCCAATTTTAAAATGCAATTGTAAAAAAAATGGGGGAAAATCCTCTGTAAATAACTTAAGAAAAACAGAATGGGAAAAAGTATCATTAACTTCACAACTGAAGGTCTAAATGGATTAAAACATTTCATTATTAGCTCATAATAAAATGAAACTCAGCTTTAAGTTCCTTGCATAGTTGTAGAGAAATTTTTAAAATGTGCAGAATATGAAAACAAAGCACACATAACCCATTTATGCACAAAAGGAACACCATCATAGCTTCACTGTCTGAGTATTACTGTTATTGCAGTTTTCCTTTCTAATTCATTCCCTTTACTCTGAGCGAAGAAGTCACCTTCATCTGCTTGTACTTTAAATTGACGAGCTCCAGAACAGGTACATTTCCTACTTGATAGATTGTGTTTCAATATAATATAATGAGCATGCATGCAGACAGAACCAGGAGTTAAGGGAGTTTATCACCTTACCTGTCATATTGCAGTATACAAGAAATGGCCCCAAGGGGCCACTCCCATCTGAATCGATGTAGTAAAAGCCTGAAGTGTTCCCTCTGTGCTTATAGGCTTCACAAGATTGCTCATAAATGGCTGTAAAAGAACATCTTCCATCACAAGCATAATGGCATCATTTTGCATTTTATTTGGGGCATGAACAATAGGAGGGTTAAAATATACAACACATTCATTCAAAGCTCAGGGAAACAAAAGAAAATTGCACAATAAAACGGCACTCCTCCTAGTATAAGTAAACAGCATTTACTTCTGTCACAAGAAAATGACTGAGTGGGTGTCTATCTTTGTTTCTATAATGATGGAGTTCATGGCTATATTATGCAATCATGCCCCGTCAAAGATAGTAATATTAAGAAACTTGTTTTATCACAGAATTGTGGATAACGGGGACTCTAACCATTTCAATTGGTCTTGATCTTAAGATTGGTTGACACAATATCCATTTTTTCCCATTTCTATATCCTACCACTGCACATTGGACAAGTAGGACAGTGCTATAAAGGTAAAGTGTGCAACTGAGTTGCAACTGACTCATGGCAACCTCATGAACTTCATGGGGTTTTAAAGGCAAGAGATAACAAGAAGTGGTTTGTCATTGCCTTCCTCTGACGACAAAGAAGAGATTGGATTTATACCCTGCCCTTCACTCGGAGTCTCAGAATGCCTTACAATATCCTTCCCTTCCTCTCCCCACAACAGACACCTTGTGACGTATGTGGGGCTGAAAGAACTGCTTTTAAGAGAACAGCTCTGAGAGAACTTGTGACTGACCCAAGGGCACCTAGCAGCTGCATGTGGAGGAGCGGGGAATCAAAGCCAGTTCACCAGATTAGAGTCCACTGCTCTTAACCACTACACCAAACTGGCTCTGGTAGTATCCCATCCAAATACTAACCATGGCCAGGCCTTCTTAGCCTCCAAGCTCTGAGGTTATTCAGGCTGATCAAGACAGAGCTATGCAAAGCTTTTAAAATCCATTTGTCTCAGCTTCTTTACCAGGGCAAGCAAGCATCCATTCCACGTGCTCATCTGGTTAATGCATTCCAATGTCTGGCCATGGCTGAGTTTCAAGAAATAAAGTTTAAAATGAATCCTCAACTCAGAAGATCTGAGAAACACTGGGCTACTGTATTTGGCAGTACAAACATATACTTGTGTTAAGAAATAGTGGCATTCCAATATCTAATATAATGTTGCACATGAAACTTATCATCATATTCAGAAAACGAAAATCCTTCTAAGGAACAACTCGGCTGTGTAAGTGCTTCAGCAGAGTGTTGGCACAATAAGCACTGATGATTGCTATTTTGTTCCATAGGGGGCAGTGCTAGCTTCCAGCACCAGTTCAGAGAGATGATCTGTTCCTCTGAGCCAGTGCTGAGACCCTAGTGCCAATCTACTCATCTGCTTTACCTGTGCAGTGACACATTTGATCGAACTAACAATATGGAACTTATGGAAATGCTTCAAACTTAAAATGAAGTACACAGTACTTGACATTTTCTGCTCATTTTATTAGTTGATTAGAAGGATTTGTTTCTGTTTTCTGGGCAGCTGGAGAAACTAATTGTTAAATCTCTCATTTCAAATTAAATAAGTCCTAGCAATTCTGGCTTTTCACTCCAACATCTAGCTTCTATTGTGGCAGTCAAGCTGAAGAAGTTTGAAAAAGTCTTTGATAGAAACTTTGGGGAAAGGACTCCTTTAGCCACCCTTCAGTTACACAGCATAAAATCACTTAAAGTACAGCTGGGTAAAATTTCCATATCAAAAGTGCATCAACCTCCTAAAATTATCAGTTTCATTTCAGTAATCATGCTGTTCAAGATTACATTTTTGTTTTTTAAAGATGCTGTATGCTTTAAATGTTTATACTTCGCCTTTTTTAAAAAAAACAAAAACCTTGAATGTACAGTGTCAAATGGAAACTTTCCCCCAAAATAAATGAAAAATGTTTCCAAAAGGAGGAAACGGGGGGAAGGAGGAAAACACAAAACAATGGTCAAGAAGACCCCCCCACACACACACACTTTCTTGAAATGCTTCATCCATAAGGACAATACGGAGGTTCTGAACATTGAAGGAAGCTATTGTCCCAGCTGCTGATCTATAGAAATATAATTTCTCATGATTTTCTTCTACTAGGTTATTATGCAATTAGTGCTTGTGATAAATATTGGTTCAGAGCAAAAGTGCTCTGCATGGAAAATTCAGCAAGGTTAGTAGTACAGAATTATGATACTGAGAGATGAGTCTGAACAGGGCACCATCTGATATAAATAATGATGGAGTTTCATGACATAGAAAGTAAAGCTCAGGATCAATGGCATTATTTACAGTACAGGATCTAAATTTCATCAGAGCCTATATTTCTTCAAGATAGATGGGCATTCACTATTTGATCTCATTATTCTAAGATGGAATACAAGAATTAGATTGTTTCATCAGATCAAAGGCCAGTCTTGACTGGTAGGCAACAGCTGCTCCAGGAGCCTCACATCTACTGCCAGCCACTGGCACCCATCCTGTAATCGAAGATATCGTCCTTCTGACCATGTTTTACTGTTGGCTGTTATCGCTATCAGCTACTGCAGAGCTAGCTATCATGAATGCAGTCATTTTTATAAAGCTTTCTAGGATATTGGCTTCAGCAACATCTGAGACAATAAATTTTATTTCTATATATCCATATACCACAAAGTAGTTCATGTTTCCAAGTAGGTCTGAACCCTGCCAGCAGCCTAGCAGCAACATCCACATATGTCAGAAAGTACATTTTCCATGCTGTGGACACCAACACAATATCCAGGCCTCACATGAAGGACTATGGGGCCACATTTGAGGCCTCTTTGTTTTTGGTAAGCTTGGAAGGAGAACCTGCCATGGAGATTGGCAAAATGAATCCATTTAGAATAAGCCTGAACTCTAGAAGAGGTTTGGGTTCAAATGCATTGCTAAACTTGGTTGAAAAAGATGATGGTCCCACAAATCTGATATTTCTTTACACCCCACCTTTCCCCCCAATGGGGACCCGAAGTTACTTACACACACTCTACTCACATTGAACCTGGTTTTCCCAGAGCCTAGTCCTACATTCTAACCACCACACCACACTGGCTCTCAGTGAACCTTCTCTTAACTTTGCCCCATAAGTTTTTTTCTTCTTCCAGAATTCAGTAAGTGATTGGATGATTTCAGGTTGTAGTCTTTCTTTCCATGAATTACCTTCGAACAATTTATGATTTGTAAACCTGTCTCACATTTCCCCCTTTAGTTATAAAGCCAGTTTCCCCCCTAAACTACTTCTTAATTCTTTCTTCATAAGGAGGATGATCTACTCCCTAAGTAGGTACACTACAGAATGTTTTATTTCAGACCCTTTATATGTTTAATTGTCCTTTGTTGCAGCACACTGCAAAACCCCAAAGATTTCTTCACAGAAGGATTTCAGACAAATTTAGCTCTTGTCAGCACTGCAGGGGAAGACATGAGGCAGAAATATATTGTGCCACAAATAATTCTCAGTAAACATAGCATTTAAACATTCATAATCCTCAGTAGCCTCTCCAAATGCCTCAGTGAAATAACTGCAATCAATAAGACTTATCGATTTGAAACTGGAGGCAGAATTACATCTATACCCCAATTAAGACATTTCTATATGCACACAGTGACTCCAGTTTATAGGATGCAGCTCCCCCAACTGTATGCGCCTGTCTCATCTGCCTCAGTGGACAGGTAGCTCCACATGCGCCTCTAATGAAGTGCATATATGGGAATGAGCACAAGATTCGGAATAGGGCCAATCTCCTTCATTTCATGCTAGAGTTCAAAGTGCATTCCAACCAAACAACAAAATCATAGCCAAATCTCCTGTCTCTAAAATAACAGTTTTAAAAGACGTAAGAAAGTTTCTAGGACTTACAGGAATGACATGTAGCCCCTGTATAACCTGTGTTTGCACAGTTGCAATAGAAACTATTCCAGGACTGTGAACATTCACCACCATGTTCACAGTAATTGGGCAGACATCTATATGGATAAAAGGAAACACATTAATATATTGATGAAATATTAGCTGTACTTGCAAGTATAGGCACCTGTGATACAGTAAACCAATGGGTAAAAGAAAAGGTAACTAGGAAACTAAAAAGGACATACTGGGTAACAGCTGTGGTATATGAGTCACTAGATTTTATTTCACACACATGGCTGGGGATGGAGGTGGCTACAAAGTAAGTTGCAGCCAGGGCCAGCTTTACCATGAGACCAACAGAGGTAGTCACTTCAGACAATGGATAGAGGGTGGCACCTGTTCCATCTTGCCTCCTACTCACTCATTGACAGCTGTCATCTCTTCTCTACTTTGTAACCAGAGCAGCTAATCCTTACTCTCTGTTTCTTCTTTAAAAGCAGCACAGCAAGCTCTTTGTGTCCTGTGCTGTATCCCAAATTCTAGTAAGTAACCTCTGGCAAGAGTTCAGCCATAATGTAGCTTACCTAGGCAACTAGTCATCTGCTAGGTTGCCAGGGCAATAAGAATAAAGGCCAAATCCTTGCAAGAAGTAGGGCTGTCAGAAGAGTTTGGAAAGCCCTATCTGGTATGTGCAGCTTGCTGTGCTGTTTTTTTAAAAAAAAAGAGGATTGGGGGATGAAGAGACAAGGAGGATTAATTGTTCCAGGGCAGACGAAGTTGTGGCTGCAGAACAAGGTGGTCTGCCATAAAAGTTTGTCATGTGAGCTATTCTCTCAAATATCTTAACAAGCAACATCTACTGTTGTGGATCTCTGATTCCATAGACAGAACACAAAAATGTTCCTGCAGTTCTTTCTGTGCAGCCCCTTCATACGCCCAGAAAGATTATTCCTAGGGTTGTGAGAGCTGCATAAAAGAATAGTCACAGAAGGTGAGGGACTGATTTTTCTGGGGGATGGAAGCTACTGCAATGATGGAAGGAACATCTTCCTCAAACACCACCCTCACCAGGCTCCACCCCTCAAATCTCCAGGAATTTCCCAACCCTATTTCCTTCCCAGCCAACCATCACCCTGCCATAATCTGCCCCTCTGACTTCAGCTTTCGATCTCCCCCTCCCTCCCTCCTGAAGAGCAGTTGTAATTCTGAGTGATCTCCAGCCCTCACCTGGAGATTGGCAACAATGATTCCACAGGAGGAAAAGTATAGTTTTTCTCTGCAATGGGGACCAAAGCAGTTTACATCATTTTCCACTCTGCCTTTTGGTCTGCACAACAACCCTGTTAGGTAGGTTAGGCTGAAAGTCTAAAGTTTTGTTATCAAAACTGAACTCCAGACAACAGATCTCTCTCTCCTCCTGGAGAAAATAACTGCTTTGGAGGGTGGCCTCTATGGCATTCTGCTCAACTGAGGCCACTCCCAAAATTTCCCAACATGGAGCTGGCAACCCTAGTCAGGACTGGCCCCAATGAGTTTTCTCCCAAAGGCCAAAATAGGTGTGGACAGGGTCTCCCCCCCACCTTTTACTGGCAGAACCAAGCTTGGTTGCCTGCCAACAGGCACTGTGGGGAAAGTAGGGTTGCTAGCTCTGAGTAGGGAAATACCTGGACATTTGGGGGGTAGATCTTGTGGAAGGCAGTGTTTGGGGAGGGGAAGGACTCAGCAGGGTATAATGCCATAGGGTATACCCCTCCAAAGCATCCATTTTCTTCAGGGGAACTGATCTCTGTCATCTGGAGATCAATTGTAGTAGTGGGAGAGCTCCAGGTCCCACGTGGAGATTGGCAACCCTAGGGGAAAGTCAGCCTCACAACAGGAGGTTGAAGAGAATGGTTTGATGGCCGCTGGCCCACCTCAGTAACCAGCCAGCCATGGTAGAGCCAAGCAGGAGAGACAGCTGTTTTCACAGTTTATTCTGACAAGAAAGTGATCAAGCTGGCAGTGGGTGGTGGAGAGGAGTGGACCCAGAACCCAGCCAATGGCACGTGAGTACTCTTGAGTGGCGCTTGATGGGCCAATAGCTGATGGAGTGCACTGCCCAGCCAATGGGACAGCTGGAAATGGCCAATATGTAAGGGAATTATATATATAGGATTGTTTAGCAACAGAATGAAAACAGATCTGATATATGGCACATTAAACACATTAAATTTACAAACAGAGAAATTAAAAACAAAGACTGTAGTTTATGTAACCGAAACAAATTCCCCCAAAACACTTTGGTCTAGAACATAAACACTACTGAAAGCTCTCTGGGAAAAGACACTGTCACTCGGTATCAGCAAAAGCAGCATTAAAAATGCAATATTGGGGGTGGGGGGTTTAAAAATCTTACCTGTCTATAATGCCACACAAATCTATTTGTAGATCACTGAAATTTCCTACTGAATTTTGTTGAACTGAAATTAAATCTACTGCTTTGTTATCAATAGAAATTAGTTTCATACATCCAAGGAAACTACTGGATGGATTTTTACATTCCATGATGCTGTCATTAGCAGGGCATCCTAGAAATATAATAATTTTTAAATTAATATATTTTTTTTAAAAAAAGGATTAAACAAAGAAGTGTAATTCATATTTTGGCAAAATCAGGGCTATTACATGGTCATGCAACATTCACTGCTCCTGTTGGAAAGTGTTATTAGAGTAGTATCACCAGATGTCAGCCAGGAGATTGCAAGGACATTAATGGAATGGAAACAATGGGATGATAACAGGCAATCAGCTATTGTGAATTCTCTTGCTGTCTGAAGCAGTGTTGGCAAATTTGTGCATTAATAGTTGTTTGCTCCCGCTTGAGATCAGGGCCTTGCGGGACTTATTATCATTCCTCAGGGACTGTAAGATGGAGCTCTTCCACCAGGCTTTTGGTTGAGGCAGAGGGCGTCCAATGAAGTCGGCCTCCCTCACTGAAGTTTGTCCTCATTATTTGGCCCAGATTATGAAGTCCTCTGTATCCATCCACTCCAGCTGAAACTGTGTTTGTGGTTATACACAGTTGTTTTAAATTGTATTCCTTAATTGTTTTAAATATCGTTATATTTATTAATGTATGTTTTTTCCTATTTATGATGTGATCTGCTCTGAGCCCGCTCGCAGGGAGGGCGGAATCCAAATCCAAATAAATAAATAAAAATAGACCAGCAGTATAAAACATGTGCACACGTGCTAAGCATATCATAACCCAGAACACAGGTATGTTGAGAGAAAGGTGTGCCCAAGCCTTCCTTCCAGTGAGGAGCTGGCAAGGGTTTTTTGCAACTTTGTTTTAATAATATAAGTTTGGTTGCCCTTTTTCAACCCATGTAGCTTTTTAACAGAAGGAAGGAAAGGAAAAGAAAGAACACAGTTGGATAGATCCAGCAGTTTGTGGGTGCAAGGAACACATCTTTCCCATGTTCTGTCCCCAGGCAGTTTCCAACTCTGGGAGACTTAGTCCAGGTGGGACTGAAACTCTAGGAATAAAGTTTCCCAGGGACTAAAGGACTGGTGGGGGGGAAAGGGGGAACAGGGATATTCTGTGATTGACAGTGCATTCCACTGACAGTTTGCTGATCCAATCCAGTAATTTATTTCTAACAACTTCCCCCCCTAAAATCAATCATTATTTTATATAATCACTATTATTTCAGTCAGCTTGAACTATATGTAATAATAGGTTATGAAACGTAATAATTTATACTCTATTTTTCCCACTGGTATTTTTCTCACAGGGCAATATTGCATCAATACTAAAACATTTTGATTTGATCAAAATGTTCTGCCTCCTGGGTCATATTGGTCGAAGAACTGTCTTAGATTCTTCCATATGCCTCTGATTTTTTTAAAAATCAGTCTTATTATTCAGATAAAGAATAAATAATTGACACTATAATTAACAGAACTACTGGTAATAATAATAATAGCATATTTCTGATCAGTCTACTAAATTCTGATAGCAAAGTTAAATATGTGCTTCTATAAAATTTAAAAAATGGGTCTATTTGCTTTTTCATTTTTTCATTCATCTCCTTCCCTTTATACTTTTCAAAAACACAGTAAGTAATCTAACAAAATCTTCTCAAGAACACTGGCTTCAAAAAGTGTAAGAATTCCCCTACTAATACCATCTATTTCCACCCTCCATCGGACTGCAAATCCCACACCTTTTTAGTATTCTGCCTTCCAGTTTACAAGCAAAGAAATCAAACTACATAAAACCTTGTATTTTACAAGGCCAAACTTGGACCAATTTCTGGCGAAATAATAGGACAGATTATATTTTCTATCACATTGTAAAGCTGTTACACTTTGGGCTGAACCAGGCAGCACACTGCGAGTTCTGAGTTTACAGCTCCCAGTGTTTAAGCTCTCTCATCATGGCCTGAAGGGAGGAAAGGTTTCTCTTCTCTCTTCCCTCCTGCAGCATTTTTTGTATGAAAAATGGACCTAGGGAGACTAGTTTTGTCCTGTTACTTATGTTTTCCCCACAAGGGAATCAGCAGCTTCCTGGGTATGTTTCAGATCAGGAAAAAAAATGGCAACAAGGCCCAATGCCTTAGTCCCCCCGCATCATATTTCTCATATAAATCAGGCCTCTGCACACCTGGTAAACTTCATGTAAAACTGGGAATTCCATACACAGAACACCAGTTGTATTATCTGGGTAGACCCTTTGTGTATGGATTACTCTGTCCAAATTAGAGATACTCAAATGTCTGCCAGTTTGCTTGCGTCCTGTTTGCCAGTCACGAACAGGGACCTGATTTTTCAATGATCAGTTCAACAGATCATCAATTTCTTCACTATATTCCTCCCTAAACATACAGCACAATTGGCCTTTTGCACATATGTGTTCTAGGGGTTCAGATTTAGGGTTCCGGTATACTGAACCCCCAAAATATTGGTATTTCCTGATGTACCCAAATCCCAATACCAGTATGGTATTCAGATTCCATAAATATTTGTGATTGTCAAAAATATTTTTGCTCCATTATAGCCTATGGGGACCATTAAAGCCAATGCTTCACATAGGGTATAATGGAGAATTGATCCTGGGGTATCTGAGGCTCTTTGGGGACTGGGTTTTTTTTTGAGGCAGAGGCACCAAATTTGCAGCATAGCAGCTGCTGCCTCTCCTCACCCCCCCCCCCCCAAGTTTGCTGTGTTAGGGCCTTCCCGATACAAAGGGGAGTAGATTAGAAACCCACTCTAGGAGTAACTGAATCCTAATAAATTCATAGGATTTTTACACTGAAATACTGAAAAACTGCCATAGTGTAGTTCATATCTTGGAAGAATCATAAAAGCATGCATCCTCATGATTTTTACATGGTGTTACCCAAAACATGTTGGTAGATTGTGAAACACATTGACAGGCTTGGAATGGTGCCACTCGTGGAGAAAGGGATCCTGCTCCCCTCCCCCCAATTCTCTCATGTAAAAACTACACTGGGAGAGTTCTTTAATCAATTTCGCTGTTCCATGTGGAGTATCTGTGCACGTGGAACAGCAAAATTGGTGAAATAACTCCCTCCAGCATGAGTTTCACTTGAAAAAACTTCTGTGCCTCCCTAGCATGAATTTTGCTTGATAAAACTGCTGTGGCAGGAGCCCTTCCTTCACCCACAGCAGAATTCTGAGCCTGTTTGGACTCTCTCTTTTTAAAGATGCAGTTTTCCAGGACATCTGTGTGGCTGTTGGAAATATGAAAAAGCAAGTGTAACCAAGTGAAGAAATGTAACATGTGGTTGACTTCCAGAAGTGGTCTTATAATCTATCTTCCCAAACTGCTATGTTTGTGGAAGGCTGAAACACAGCCAAACCCTCTGATTTCTAACTTTGCAATGTTTTAATCTTCCCCTAGCACAGCGATGGGGTGTGTGAGGATTAGAAACCCATGCCTAGAGTGATTAGGTGCTAAGGGCCACTGATCAGTTCTGTGGGAAAAAACCATGCAAACCTGTTCAGCAAGAGTTTATGGTTGTTTGGTATGAACTGAACAGATTGAGTGATGGATTAATTGATCCACACCTTTGATTAGTTGATTAACACCTTTGAATATGCAACTGTCAAACATGTTCATGGCAGAATTCACAGTATCCCTAGTATCAATTGCTAGTCTGATCAACAGAGGCCGAGGTATGAGATAAGCAATTTGGTTTTCAGTGTTCCTGGCATTAAATTGGTGACCAAAGGATCTATTTCCTAATGTATGCTAAACAGCTTTTGTGATATCACACCCAATGTGCCACAAGATCAGAGCTTAGTCCAAGTTCTCATGTGACTTTGAGTGAAACAGGGAAACTAAGCACATATAAGCATATTCCCTTTAACTGAAGGGATTTAATCATATATGTTATACATGGAAGCATAAGTTCTGATACTAACCTATAGCCCCCTTTCTCAAACAACAACAAGTTGCAACAAACACAGCATAACACAGCTTAGTTACTCTTCAGGAATCAAAGGTATCATGATAAACTGGTGTTCAAAGTGATCATATCCAGATTCAGGATATTGTAGTGCTAAAAATAATATGGAAATCCACATTACACAACATTAGCAGAATGTGACATAGCAGAATGTGACATAGCCTTCAAGTAGCTTTAAATCTTCTTATCAAGCTAAAACAGATGAAACACAAATGAAATATATTATTTTTTCATTGCTGGTTTTGAATGCCCAAAGTGGAGCATACATATTTCCTGTCATAGGGGTTACTACGTACACTAAATGCAGAGACAGTATAGGAATCTTCTCATCAAAAAAGATACAGGGACTCATTTTTTTAACTTCTAAAAATAAATGGGGAAAACTGAAGTAAATCACATCTGAAATTAATGATATTTTCATGCATTGAAAATGGACATTCTGCCTCTCAGAGCAATGTGAAAGCAGCAATATCTTGGGAAAATAGAAAGTAACACTAAAACTTTGTGGATATTTTTGTATTGTTCTGAATATAATCCTTCTATTAAATTCAGTCAGGCCTCACATAAGCAACTACAGCTGAATCAGCCCTGGCATCCTATTTTAAATATGCTTAATGTAGCACTTGTTTTCATAAAATAAAATAAAGGGGAATGCTCCTTAAAGAGTCAGAGGGTGCAGTTAACATCCTATTAAAGTCAACAACAAATTTACCATTTAATTGTTCCAAGTTAATCTTAGAATTTCAGAATATACTAATAGCTTGCTTTTGAAATGAAGGTGAACTGAATGTCACTGATGTTCATATCAATCTTCTGTCACCAAGGAGCTTTACTGTTGCTTTGAAATTCAGATTTTAAGCAGCAAGAAACAAAAATACCACTAACCTCCAAAGTAGTAAGTGTCTCCTGAAAATATCTGTATAGTTACTGAAGCATGAGAGGAGGAGGCTGCATCATTGTCTATTATTAAGCTTACACGGTTTCTTTTAGCTGACAAAAGAACAGAATGCCACTGTCCATTATGTAATCCAGCACCTGGAAGAAAAAGAAAACATTTCAAGCAAACAGAATTGATTAAATAAAAATATCAGCAAAATATTCTGAAACCTTTCACTATTGAGAAAATTAGAGGAATTGCTAGAAATTTCATTCCAGCTGTTGTCAAATGCCACATTTTGGGGAGGGATATTTCTCTATTTTACAACAAAGAACAGGATACTCTGGAGGGGGGACTGCAAAGGTAATGTTTCCTTGCATGAGAAGTATCATCAATGTAACATTCTCAACATGGTCAAATCTGTGGATACTCAAATCCAGAGCCTGGAGCCATAAACAGACAATACCCTTGCTTCTACAAACCTGAAAGATGCCCCAGGTTTGCAGAAAAATCTGAAATTAAAAAGAGGGGGTTAACGCCTTCCCCCAAATGCCAATGTGGTTTAATGGCTAGAGTCTGAGACTAGAATCTGGGAAACTCAGCTTCAAATTACCACTCTGCCAAGAAAGCTCATTGGGTGACCTTGGGCCAATTATACAGTCTCAGTCTAACCAACCTCACTGTATTATTTTGAAGACAAAACGGGCAGGAAAATGATGTCAGGTATTTTCTGTCCCTCTTATGGAGAAAGGTGGGGTACAAATGAATTAAATAAATTATAAATGTTGCTGAAGATGGGGAGCAGGTAAAAGGTAGGTTAGTGGGTGGGAAAGAGAGAAGGAAGGAAGGAAAGTGAGTATATGAGGGCTGCCAGGAGGGAGAGAAAGAGGAATTAATGTGGCAAGGGGGGATACAGGAAAAATGAGGTGCTCCTCACAAGTCCTTGCAGGTTCCACATCACACAACTAAGACTGGACTGGCTGTTGGCACTGCACAAGTGGGTCTGCTCGGGCAGCTGGCACTGCACAACTAGGCCACAGTTTTCCTGGGAAGAGTCTGACAGGAAGGAGGGAAAGCTAAAGACTGGGGTGTATATAAAGGTAAGTTGGCTGGTGGGTAGGAAGAAGAGAGGGAAGCAGGGAAAGGCTATGGGGCTTTCAGGGAAGGGAAAGACAAAGTAGTGGGAGAGGGGAAAATGAGATGCCCCCTGCAAGTCCATGTGGGTTCCCCACTGGTAACTTATCTGTGAGCATAAGCTATAGCAAATATAAGGTCCAGCTGAGTGGAGCTTTGGATTTCTGCCCCAAGTGTCTGCTTTAAGGGCACTTTTGCTTGTTCAGCTCCACTCACACTAGAAAACATCCACCCCGAAGACAACTGACTGGAATCCATAATCAAAGTTAGCATATGTAAAGCAAGAAAAAAAATGGCCCAGACATGTAAAATGATCTACAGCATAGCAAGAATACAATATAATGATAAGGACAAAAATATGCCATGTATTCAAGGCTATACAGAAATATAAAGACTCATGACTGCTGAAACAAGTAATCCCAAACTGTTTTGGGTCCCATTGGGGAGAAAGGTAGGGCATAAATGAAGGAAATAAATAAACAGGTTTGCCATTTCCAATGACAGTGCCATTCAACAGATTAATAAATACACTTGAGTTGCTTTTGCTTGGTTCTAGTTACTTGACTCTACTAGATGCCTGTTTGTTTAGCTGTCAGTTCTTGATGATGAGCCTATGCCATTAAGTGTTGAATCTTCTTCAGCAACATACCAGAGGAAATTATAGATATTGAAATGTGACATCGTATTCCTATTGGAGGTTCACAACTTCAATTTTAAAAGTTTTAAAGCTTAATGAAGCACCTGGATAGCAAACAAGGTGATTCAACCTACTCATAATTATTATCTAGGTAGCTGATGACCAACTTGTAAGAGAGGATACATAGGAGAAATATACAGCCCCCCTCAGAATAGGAAATCTTGATTTATTGTACATTAATCAATCATGAATTTACATAGTACTTTCTGCCTTTGTACGTGAACAAAGAAAACTTTATAATGAAGTCTCTGAGCTATGTTCAAACTAATATGCTCTAATGTAATTATCACATATTGTATGTGTGAAAGCCAGGTCATAAGTCTTTGCCTGTAGGGGAACAAACCTGTCCAACCATCCATAATTTAATTATGCAGTCTCTAAATGCAGACTTGATTTGCTCCAATGAATGTAGCAACAACAAACAAGCATATGCAAAGAAAAGTTCACTAGTATGGTTTGGCTAGATAGCTTGCTAGTGAAGAAAGCAAAGCAGAAACCATACTGAAAGATTTAACGCTGTACAAAAGATACACTTAAATTTGCAACTACACTTGATGTTCATTTTACTCATATGCAATAAAATAAATTCTGCTTTAACATACCACTGATTTTTTTTGTTGAGAAGATTTTCTTGTTGGAGAATATTTTAGAGCTTTAGATTTGTGTTTGTAGCTTAAGTAGTTTGTCATGAAAGTGCGTCAGTAAGCCAGTTAGAAATGACAGCGCATTCTGCAAACCTGTTAAAGAGACACTAAACTAAGGTTGTGTCATTAACTTGTGTGTAATTGCGCTGTGATTTAAACTGCTCTGGAGGAAGTCAGATACATCACAGAAAACAGCACATCAGTGACACTCTTACCATGGAATTAACATTTTCAGATACTGAGCCCTGGGAAACCTCTTAATCATAAATTGGCACACTCGTTGCATTATTTATTTGAGTTTGTTAGCATGCATTGCAGTTGATCCTGTTGCTACTAAAATCAATGTCAAAGCTTCCATTCCAGGCTGAACCATTTATGCAAATCATCAACCTAACATCAGATTGCTGTTGGCAACCATTCAGTTATTTCAAATTTTATACTGTTGTTACTGTTCATTACTGGGACTTGTAAGGCATTTTAGATATGCAGACATGGAAAAACAGGACTGCAAGCATGCATTTTGTGGGTTACAGATGTTCTGAATAAGAAGACAAAACTAGAATCTAAATAGGACCTTATACAGGAGTCAGGAAATGTTGCTGACTTCTGTCCTTCAGAGTTTGCCTTGTGCATAACTACTACCATATTTACATATATTGTCTTGGGTATCCCTTGTCAGTCATATGAATGGCTTTGCAGAATATAACCCAAAGTGCATGCAGTGTAGCTTTCTACTTTTCCCTGTGGCCAACCAGAACTGCCTGAGAAACAATAAGGCTCTGGGCAGCACACTGAGCCTTGAACTGTGACGACGTTTATAGAACTTCACAACTTTGATCCTGGCTGGATTTCAAAATAATTAGCTAATCAGGAAGTTTCCCTGTGTTATGTACAGACATATATGGGAACATGTGAGGAAATACAATACATTCAGACAATGTTGCACTGCAATTTGAAAGAGGCCCTATCTGGAAAAGAACAAACGAAAGAAAGACACCAAAACAAACAGCTCTCCACATTGCTTTCATAAGCCTGCATTCAAACATGAATAAAAGCAATTCCACACAATTATTTTCATATAGAAATCATTTGCTTTCTATTACCTGCAGTGATGTCACTCTGTGCCTTTCCTGGTTTATAGATGCTGAGTTTAACCTTTCCATCACTAAGATACAAGAGGAGGCCACCAGTAGATTGGAAGAGTTTGCTTGAAAGCAAGAGCCCTTCATTGTTCCAAGTCCGAAAATGAAAACCAACTGAAATGTCATCTTGTCCTGATGTGCCAGGCAATGCAAGATAGCTATTGGAGTTCAAAAAGGTGACAGGAACAATTGGGGGCTCTGCACAAGAGAAGGATATATTGCCCTAAAAACAAAGGAAATGAGGAAAACATTAGATAAAAACAGAGAAAGAGAATTTTATCCATTCATATCAGCCTGCCTGTATGAGTAACTCGACAAGAATTAAGGATAATATTGGCTTGGTTTGGCTGTTTCAATCCATGAGACAGACAAGAACAGAAAAATAACAATATCCGATTACCAGACATTTTGAGAAATACCAGTCTAATGATCTGTTCTGCCTTAGCCGTAACAGCCAATGATTTTCTGAGTAAAATCAGGAGAAACATAAGGCTTGTTGACACTACTGAAGGCCCCAAGACAAGTGCCTTGGGACAACAAAAATGAAGATTTTTTTTTTACTAACTAGAATAAATGCAAGTTTAACTGTGAGCATAGTTCATTCTTTGCCATTCCAGCTATTGGGGGTGGCTCCTAGTTGAAGGCCTGGTGGAAGGCCCCGCTGATCTGCATGGGGTCCCAAAGGACCCTGATCTCTTCTGGGAGCTCATTCCAGCAGAGCGGAGCCGCCATTGAGAAAGCCCTGGCCCTGGTTATAGCTGCCTGGCATCCCTGAGACCGGAGAGGGTCAGTCGATTTTGGGACTCTGATCGCAGTGCTCTCTGGGGAACATGTGGGGAAAGGTGGTCCCTCAGGTATGTAGGTCCCTGACCATAAAGGGCTTTAAAGGTAAGAACCAGCACCTTGAAGCGAATTTGGCATGCTATCGGCAACCAGTGCAATGCTTTCGGTACAGGCTGAATGTGCTCCCGCATTGTGAGACCCATTAGAAACCTGGCATCAGCATTTTGCACTAGCTGCAGCTTCCGGATTTGAAACAAGGGCAGCCCCATGTAGAGAGCATTACAGTAGTCCAATCTTGAGGTGTCCATTGTGTGGATCACTGTTACCAAGTCATAGCATTCAAGGAAGGGAGCCGACTGCCTGATCAGCCAAAGATGGTAAAAGGCAGACTTGGCAGTGGCTGCTACCTGGGCCTCCATTGTTAAGGAGGCATCCAAGAGCACTCCCAAACTCATAACCTCCGGCACTGGCACCAACGGAGCCCCATCGAAAGTCGGGAGTGGGATCCCTACCTTTGGCCCACCCCAACTCAGGCACAGAACCTCCATCTTCGTTGGATTCAATTTCAGTTGGCTCAGCCTAAGCTATTCAGCCACGTCTTGTAATGCCCAGTCCAGATCCTTGGGCTTAGAGTCAGACTGGCTGCCCAATAACAGATGAATCAGAAAAAAAGGCATACTCATATAAGCATATTATGTAAACTGAAAGGTTTGTGTGCCAGTTGGGAAGCATGATGCCAAGATTTGCATCCATTTCCCAATGCCTACAGAACCTATGTATGGGTCCTTATCTAATATACCCGCAGAAGAGCATAACACTCTGGGGAGAAGAATCTCCTGATGATCCCTGGCCCGAAAGATACCCGCTGTCCTCAACCAGAGCCAGGGCTTATTTGTCCCTGGCAGCAGCCTGGTGGGACTCTCTGCCTAATGACATTCATGTCCTGCAGGACCAGGGCAGTTCTGCAGGGTCTGTAAGACAGAGATGTTCTGCCAGGCTTATGGTTGAGGACAGCAATGATTTTTTCAGTGAGCCTGGCCTCCCCCATCTTTCCTGTTCCATGGAGTAAGGACATAAACTGGTCCTTGAAGTGCCATCTACACTACCATTGCCAGTTTGGTGTAGTGGTTAAGTGCGCGGACTCTAATCTGGGAAAACCGGGTTTGATTCCCCACACCTCCACTTGCACCTGGCTGGGTGACCTTGGGAAAGCCATAATTTTGGCACAGCTGTTCTTGAAAAAGAGCAGTTTCTGCCAAGAGCTCTCTCAGCCCCACCTACCTCATAGGGTGTCTGTTGTGGGGAGGGGAAGGGAAAGGAGTTTGTAAGCTGCTCTGAGACACCTGTGTAATGAAGTGCAGGGTATAAATCCAATCTCTTCTCTTCTTCTTCTTCTTCTTAATCGCCTGAAATAGTCTTAGATTTGTTATTGTTTTAAATGTTTTAATTTACTACAGACTCCCTCATGGATCACTGCCTTGACGTGGCGAGGGGGCTTGCGTGGTTCGATGAGGCTGTGGGCTATGCCGTGGAGGGCCACCCAGGATAAAGAGTGATCCCCTGGAGAAGGAAATGGCAACCCACTCCAGTATCTTTGCCAAGAAAACTCCATGGACAGTATCAAAAGGCTAAAAGATATGACGCCAGAAGATGAGCCCCTCAGGGCAGATGGTGTCCATCATGCTACTGGGGAAGAGCAGAGGGCAAGTACAAGTAACCCCAGAAAGAGTGAAGCGACTGGGCCAAAGCGGAAAGGACGCTCAGTTGTGGATGTGTCTGATGGTGAAAGGAAAGTCCGATGCTGCAAAGAAGAATACTGCATAGGAACCTGGAATGTAAGATCTATGAATCAAGGTAAGCAAAGAAGATGGGGATGGCAAAGGATGAGATGGTTAGACAGTGTCATAGATGCAACGAACATGAAATTGAGGAAACTTCAGAGGATGGCGGAAGACAGGAAGGCCTGGCGTGATCTGGTCCATGGGGTCGTGGCGAGTCGGACTCGACTGTGCAACTGAACAACAACAACAAATTTACTACAGATGTATTTATTGAAATGTGGTTTGTTGACTGTATTGTTGAAATGTATTTCACTACTCTGAGCCCTATGTACAGGGAAGGGTGGTCTGTATATTAAATACAGAAATTATAAATGCAATTGTATTTCTAATAAAAGGTAGAATTTCCATAGAATTCTTTATATTGTAGGGTAGCACTGTAATCTGCTTGTAGATTATGGGAGTTGACACAGAACATATAGTGGGTAACTCAGATCAGGGCTAGATGTAGAAACTGCAAAATGCTAAGCCCCTCGTCAGACTTTCTGTCCTCAAGTTCCTGTTCCCCTGACTGCTTGGAAGGAAAATAAAATAAATCAAAAGATTAACTCACCAGAGTCTCCTACATAATGGCGTCACTTCTGTGGAATACTTGGAAGCGACAGTAACAGCTCTAGGAATTGCCCCCCACACACACACACAATGTCCCTGCCCACACCCTCTTGCCACTTCTCAGGCTGGCCTGGCAACCCTACATCCCTTTCAAACTGCTGATCCATCAGAATTGACAAATATCCAACTTAAAATTATCTATATATGTGTAAAGTTAGTACAATAGTGCAACAGTAACGCTTACGTAAGAAGTCACATGCAAGATTTTTTTAACATCAAGAAGCATCCAAAATGCAACCCTTTATTACAGGCTGAAGTGGCATGACACAACAACTGTATTTTTGAACTAGTTCTTGGTTATTATGGGAGAGTGTTTGGGGCTGCAGCTTTCCTCCTTTACGTTATTACGTTGAGCACATAGGGGGAAGGACCTGAACAAACTCTCATCTATCTCTCCTTATATATAAAAGACTTTTCGTGTCCCACTTTCCTCAGCGTTCCACACGCTCCCACAGCCTTTTGCCCGCTCGGCTGCCCATCTCGCGGACTCCCAATCCCCTGGCTGCATTGCCTCACTGCGTTGGCTTGCCCCTGCTCACATAGCTGGCAGCCAGCATATCGCTATCAGTCTGGAGGGAGCCGGCGAAGGGGATGGATGCTCTGCCAAGGGAGCAGCAACCCCTCCACAGGGAAGAAAGAGACAAACCTAGCGAGTGGCAGCAAGCAGGGGAAGCACTCACCTTCGCTGCCCCTTGTAGCCCCTCTCCCTCGGCCACAAGGCCAGCGCTTTGTCAGGGGAATAGCTCAGCGGGATGTACCACAGAGAAGGCTGCCCAGCACCTGTCAAAGGCTACCTCGCCTTCCTTCAGCAGCAGCGGCAGCTCCAGGGAGGGTCTGGCCTAGAGGAAATGAGCTGTGGCTCCTGGAAAGCCGGACACTCTCCTGAGGAAGACACTTCTCTTGGCTCCTGTGTGGGACTAACTGTGACTAACTGTCCCCTCAGTGGCTCTTGGTAGGCAACCAAGCTTGCTTCTGTAGTAAAAAAACAAAGGACTTTCAGCAGAACCCCCTACCCCACCCACTTTCCTGTCAGAATAAATTTAACATGAATCTCTCTCCTTTCTGGCTCCACCATGGCTGGCTGGCTGGCTGGCTAATGAGGTGGGCCAGTGACCATCAGACCATTCTCTTCAACCCCTTGCTGTGTGGCTGACTTTCCCCTAGAGTTGCCAATCTCCAGGTGGGACCTGGAGATCTCTCGCTGTTACAATTGATCTCCAGATGACAGAGATCAGTTCCCCTGGAGAAAATGGCGGCTTTGGAGAGTAGACCCTATGGCATTATCCCCTGCTCCTTCCAACCCCCCCCCAGTGCTGCCTTCCACAGGAGCCACCCCCCCAAATCTCCAGGTATTTCCCTAATCAGAACTGGCAACTGTCCTTTCTTCTCAGTGCCTGTAGCTAGGCAACCAGGTCCTTTCAGTAAAAGGTCCTTTCTACAGCTATTTTGGCCTTTGGGAAAAAACAAATTGGGGCCAGTCCTGATAGGGTTGCCAACTCCAGGTGAGAAATTCCTAGAGAATGGAGCCTGGAGAAGGTGAGGTTTGAGGAGGGGTTTAACCTCAGACAAGTACAATTCCATTGACTCCACCCTCCAAGCCAGCCATTCCTTCATGGGGAACCATTGTGTTGCCAGTCTCCAGGGGAGGGCTGGAGATCACGCAGAATTACAACTGCTTTTCAGATGACAGAGATCAGTTTCCCATGAGAAAATGGTGGCCTCTCTGTCATTATACCCTGCTGAGGCCGCCACAGCAAATTGACACTGAGTGCCCAAGGCTGGGGCACTCTCTCAGAGCCTCTTTCTAGAGCTCGTTGTATTTATTTCCACAATGGGCCTTATTTCTAGTAAAATATAAAAGGCAAGTCATGCTGGTGATGACTCACCTACTCTCCCATTGGCCACTGGGGAGTTTTAGTTCTCAGCTGGCCTTATTGCAACTGTAGCAAAGGGAATTAGAACTACAACTCCCAAGTTGGGAGTCCCAAGAGGCCATGGGGCATTTGCAGCTGAAGTGTTAATCAGTTATACTCAGGGGTCTTTTTGTAGAAAAAGAGCTGCAGGAGCTCATTAGCATATAGTATGCTAATGAGCTACTAGGCTATTAGCATATGCCACGCCCCCTGGCATCCCCTGAGCCACAGCACTTTTGGCGCAGGGAGCTGGGGGTGGGGCTTGCCACCGCCACCATTTGCCTGGGCTCCTGGGCTGCCGGAGCACGCTCCAGCCCCAAAAGACCCTTGGTTACACTGTTAAACAGTGGTTGCTGGGGAAGGGAAGGCCTGGACATCTCCCTGAATTACAATTGATCTCCAGACTACAGAGATCAATCCCCATCAAGAAAATGGTTGCTTTGGAGGTGAGCTCTATGGCAGTATACTTCACTGAAGTTCTTCAACAAACCTGGCCCTCCCATTATTATTGCCAACCTCCAAATCAGCACCTGGAGATCTCCAGCTATTACAACTGATCTCCAGATGACCAACATCAGTTCTCCTGGAGAAAATGGATGGTTTGGGCCGTGGATTCTATGCCATTATACCCTGCTGAGGTGCCTCCTCACCTGAAATCTTGCCCTCCCCAGGCTCTACCCCTCAAATCTACAGGTATTTCCCAACTCAGAGTATGCAACCCTGTACCTGGCTACATAACAGCTTTCCAGACCCTTGGAACCCAGAAGACATGGCATAGGCATAGGAGGAGGCATAGGAGGAGGTGCTTTTCTACCTTAGCTGTCACTGCATAGCCCCAAATCAACATAAGTCAGGGGTGGAGGAAACCATACCTGTTACCATGCAGCTCTCCTCCCATACTACCCACTTGGGGCAGCAAAATGACTTGAGACAGCCTTGCCTTATAGTTAAACAGAAGGAAATAAACATGGCTCGCCTCCCTCTATTTTCCCCTTCCCTCTGCCGCCCCACCAGTCACAGCCAGGACACTCACCTGGAACCACTTTCTAGAGCTTGTTGCATTTCTTCCCACAACAGACGTTACTCCTAGTCATTTATAATTCTTACCTCCAGTCCTTTCAGCAGATCCTTCATGCAAAGATTCAGTAATACTAGCTTCTGCTGCATGATTTATGGTTTGATCCACAAACCAATTAAACAGGACTACTTAAATTTAAGCCAGTTTCATTCCAATAAAATTAATGGGACACAGTTGCCTTAAATCCAGTTGGCTAACTGCTTTGTGGATTGCAAGCTTATGCTGTGATTTAAATGTTCTTATAAATCAGTAAACAATTTAAAGTGTCCTTTTATATTTCTCTTACCATTATGTTGATTTGAGGTTTATGTCTCTTGGCCAAATCAATAACATTCACACCATTGTAATAAAGATTTTCAAAGCATCCCTGAAATGTTTTCCATGGTAATATGCCTGGTTTTCCTGGCATTGGAATCCCTCCAAAGCTGAGCTTAGAAAGAGAAGAAAAATCAATAATAGTATTAAGTAATTTTCAGAAAATCTCGTTACAGTGTTGACGATAAAAATGTTAACAATGGTACAGCAACAGCCACATATTGGACAATTTAGAATGAATCTATTTTCTATATTTTAAAAGTTGTCAATGTATTAATTTAAAATATAGTTTAAAATTCAGACTGCAAGATAACAAATTAAGTAAGAAGGCAAGAAACAATCTATTAAATATATGTGCCCTAATTCTCAAAAAAACAAAACAAAAAACAGTCATTTTGAGAAAGGAAATGTATCTTAATTTAGTACATTAGAATTTATATAAAATATTATGCAGTTTTTTTAAAAAAAAATCTGTTTCAGCATGTTATATAAAATGTTTGCATTGCATTAAGTGATCACAGTTAAGAGGTCATTGTGACAATTACAACTGATCAATGAAATGCAATGCACTTTAGCACGTATTTATTGTTCTTGTACCAGTACCCCAAATAATGACACAGAACACCACTATGTGAGTTAACCAGTTTATTAAATGCTGATTTACATCACTGAAATTAGTGTGAGTTGCCGCTAACAGGCAGCCTACAACAGCTACTAGTGTTTGGGGCAAATTCACCCTGGCTTAGGGCTGCCATCCCCCCGACAGGGGTGGGGTTTGCCTGCTTTCAGGCCCCCAGATCTGCTGGCCCTGATTCAGCCGGTGGGGATACCCTTCCCCCAAAGTGCCCTGTTCCCGCCAATGCGTCCGACACAATGATGTCACCTGGAGGTGATGTCATCGCAGAGGGCATGTTGCAGGGAGGACGCTCCATCACTCGAAAAAACTATGTTTACCATAGAGTTTTTCCTTGAAAGATAGAGCATACCCCGCAACATTCCCTGTGCAATGAAATCACTTCTGGGTGACACCATTGTGGCACGTGCGCTGAAGAAGCCCCGGAGAAGGACTAGGACCCCCGCCAGCAGCCAGGTAAGACCTGACAAACCTACCCTGGCTCCAAACTCAGCCAGCATTATTGCTGCATGTAAAACAGTGCCAAGAGCTGTTATGCCTTATTCATCCACAATCTGCTTCTACAACTGAGGACTTAGTTGATGCTGCTCAATCACCAAGGGTGTTCCCTCCCCAGCCCATCAAGCTCCTTGAGCCATCAAATGGCTAGTTCAGAAGCGCTCCATATCCTTAGATGGCTCAGGGTGCTTGCCAAGTATCCCTACCTATACTGTAGCAACTTAGACCTTTCCTGCCAAAACTAGTTGTAGCCTAACTCTATGTTTTCCCCTCAAATGGCTGTGGCCCCGCCCCCAGCGTGCCCAGCGTCATCACGTCACATCTGGGTGACGTGCACGCCGGGGTGGGGTTTCCCCCGGGGCCCGATTCCGCGGCGGCGGAAATCGAGCCTCCAAAGCGGAGGGAAATCTCCCCCCCCCGGGGGGAATTGGCAGCCCTAAGCCTAACCAGTCAAAAGACTAAGCCTACTTAGAGCATTGGCATGTGGAATGGTATAGTGTAGCCTGATCTTGTCAGACTTTGGAAGCTAAGCAGGGTTGGTACTTAGAGGGGAGCCCACTAAGGAAGACGCTGAAGAGAAAGATAATGTCAAACCACCTCTGCTTAATCACTTGCCCTGAAGACTCTATGGGGCTGTGATTTGATGACCCTTTACAGACACAGTAAGAATGCCACCCCTCTCTAAGGCACTGTGGAACAGATGAGGAAAAATCCCCTTCCCAGCCAATTTGAACAAGGTCCCAAAATTCCTGCTCAACCACTCAAAAGGTGATCAGACATTCCCACATTTTCCATTCAGAGAGTGGGTTGGCCAACTTGCAGGAAGAACCTGCTGTCGAGAGTGAGCTTCCATGGGACATCTCCATTTGTACAAATGGAAGCTGCTCTGCTATTTGAAACAAAGTGGTTGCAGGTGGAAGAACTGTATCCAACCTTCAACACCCTTATAATATTGTTGAATTGGGCATGATTCTGTGGCTCACTACACTGACAAAAAAAAAACCCAAGTAAATCCAATATAAAGTTGTTCACTCCAGTGCAAGGGGAAAGCCAGCCTTTTCTAAAGGCAATAGCACCTCAGCCTGTTGTTGTCAGCTTCCAGTCCAAAGGTCAACAGTGCAGCATTAAATTGCTCAGTGCTGCATGTGACTACATTTTTCCTGCCCCTTCCTGCTCCGAAACTTGTCACTCACCTTATCCCTGTCTGCCTGTTGATAGGTTATAAGCATAGATAACAGAAACATGAGATGGAAGGAGTCTGGAGAAGGCACAGATGCCTTGCATCCTATTGTCATGGAATTCAATGATACAGGGCTGATCTTCAAGATGCAACTCTTACATCCATGTTGCTGCTATATTTTTGTTTCTTCCGAACGCCTAGTCCTACATGGTACTACTATATTACACAAGGACCCCCTCAATAGACTGTACAATAGAAACTTTACAGTTACAAAATAAATATCGGGCTGGTAAATATTACAGAAATGTCAGGAGCTTCCACTTGTAATCTGCACAGCAGCAAATTTGCATATTACTACTACTTCATTGGCAGACAGAGCCAGTTTGGTGTCATGGTTAAAAGCAGCAGACTCTAATCTGGATAACCTGGTTTGTTTGATTGATTAATTAATTAATTAATTGTACTGGCAGTATGGAAGGTCCAATAAGAGTCTGGATTTTAAAGTATTCCATCAAACAGCTCATGTCCCCTTTCAATTGTATAATTGCAAATTGCATTTTTACAACAAAGTCTAATAAATGAAAGATAATTTTCACACCTCATAATCAAGGTCCAAATAATTGAATTCTCCCTTTGCATGAAAATGGTGAGTGTGTTTATCAACTGTAAAATTCACTTGATTATTGAAATGTTCAATGAGGACTGAATGCCAATGCTGATCATCCAAAAGGCTACCCAGAGTGATATTAATCTGGGCATCAGCAGAATACATTTTAGCATCACCTTCAAGAGGAGAAAAACAAACTGTTAGGTCTATGGTAATAAACAAAGTGGACACTGGAACTTACATAGTCAGTTTATACATTTTTAAAATTATGAATTAGATAAACCATCTAATGGTACCTATGTTGATGAGTAAAGAAAGCTTTCCATTAAATAAAGCCAAGGTGATATGGTCTCCATTCTGTCCTTCTCTGTGGAGCAGGACCCCATCCCTCTGGATAGTTTTAAATTTCAGAGAAATTACATCTTTCAGTGCTGTTGTGGATTTGGGGTTAAATCTGAAGATCAGCAAACTTTTCCCATCAAAATCTGCCACCTCAGACCCTAGAAGCAACATAAATACAGGATCTCTTACAACAAGAAGACAAACATTGCATTTTTCTCCCCTTTGAGATAATCATTGTGAACGTTTAATACATTTTCCCATTCCACTCTATAAACAACACAATCAAAGTTGCTTTCCTAATGTGTCTGTCATGGCTGTTTCCAGATCTGTCATATACAGACTGATCAAAAAGCAATGACCTGTGCTTTAGGACAGGAGACATTTCAGCGGAAAAAATAGTTATCAGTGGTGGTGGTATAGGAGGAAAGCTATTTCAGGTTCAGTGGCATCCCTTGGATCTATCCAATTTGCATTTAAAAATACAATTTGTTTTAATTTGGTATAGTTACTTTTTTATACTTCTAGTAACCATAAACTGCATCTAAAGAAGCACAAGTGGGGAATCTTTTTATAGAAATAACCCTTCCTACCTTCCCTTGACTTCTACAGGTTCCCACCACTGGGCACCCTAAAACTGCTCCTGATGTTCAAGAGACCTTTGGAATCAGCATGGGACACGGCACAGGGCCCCCCTGCTGCTTCCCATGGGGGGGGGGAATCTGCAGTAATCTCAGAGCCCTATTGTATAAGGATAAGTGATGGGGGAGAGATGGGCTTGCATCCATCTAGAGTGACTGCCTGCACCACAATTGGCCAAAAGTGCATATATAAAAATCTCATAGCTTCAGTAGGTGTCAGCATTTTACCAACAGAAATATACTTTCAGTCTCATGATGCATTATCTTGTCTCTTTCAAGGTCATATGTATTCACTTCACCAAAAAGAAAAGATTTTTGAGACCAATAATATAAAATAGTATCTGCCACAATCCATTACATCCTGACTTAGAAATATATAAAGGAACTGATAATGGTAGAGTAAAGCTCATAGAGTATTCACACTTCATAAGTAAAGAAGACAAAGGAGGTAATAGTTCTTGAAAGATACATTTATGAAATAAATGAAGATGTAACAAAAAGCCAATAATATATAAAGTCATTTTAACTCATTGACTGACTTCTAAGTCTGCTATCTAACTTTACCTTTTTTAAAAAAAAATTGCACCACAGTTTGGGCACAATCCACTAGAACTCTGTGTAAATTCCACTGAAATGAATCCACAATGTATGATTGATTATGTCCATGGCTCCGAGGTGGTGGCGGAGAGGCCGGTCCTTCCCCCCCCCCTTTGCCGGGCTTGGCGGTGGCAAGGCCAGTCCTCCCACCCTTTGCCAGGCTGGCCACCTGGCCCCGAGGAGGAGGAGGCGGCGGCGGTGAGGCCAGCTACAGAGCGTTCCCCGCACATGCGCAGGGGACGCTCTGTCACTTTCGGGGGGATTTAAACATCCCCCCGAGATTTTTTCTACTTTTTCGATTTTTGTGCACACGTGGGGATTGGCCCACGTGTGCACAAACCTCCCCCTCCCCCCCAAGTGCCCCCGGAGTGCTGATTTAGCGATCCGCCCTCAGGGGGCAACTTGGCTATTAGATATATAGATATGGAGCAGAGGTCCATCAGTGGCTATTAGCCACAAGGTATAGATAGGGACTCTGGGGCAAGTGATGCTTTGTCATCTTGGTGCTTGGGGGGGTCAACAGTGGGAGGGTTTCTAATGTCCTGCCCCCACTGGTGGACCTCCTGATGGCACTGGTATTTCTGGCCTCTGTGTGATACAGAGTGTTGGACTGGATGGGCCTTTGGCCTGATCCAACATTGGCATCTCTTATGTTCTTATGTTCTTATAAAAAGTCAGTTTTGTTTAGGACCAATGAAGCTACCTACAATCTCTTTCTATGCTAGCACAATGTTAGTTTTATCTTTTTTAAAAAAAAAATCTTAAAATGTGTTCTTTTATGTTAGGTGTTTAAAAAGTTTTTCTTCCCAGAACACTGAATGGAATAACACTATACAGTACTAAGTAGTAACTTTCCCCCCTCCCTGTGGAAAAGTACAAGGAGGAATGCTAATATCTCTTTGTAAATTTATGAAGCTTAAAAGGATCCATCTCATCTACTCAGGCTGCTAGTAGATTCCCTGACAGAGTGGAATGCAGACTGAGTTTCTACTTTTGATCCAGAACAATGTTCTTTCTAGTTCTCTCTCTCTCTCTCTCTCTCTCTCTCTCTCTCTCTCTCTCACACACACACACACACACACACACACACATCTTTTCTCACCAGCCCACACCCCACACACACACACACACACACACAACTCTTTTCTTGACAGTCACCAACAATTTTAATTCACCAGTGTTTAACTTTACTGCTTTTATTTTAATCAATCATTTCACATGCACGTTCCTTTTTCCTGTACCCTAAGAGGTTACCTTATACAAACTGCTAAGGATACTTAACACAGGGCTATCTCTGAACAAAGATCAGCCACTGTGAAAACACAAACCAACCATTCAGAGCCAGTGTCCCAATGGCTTGATCAATCCAATTACATCACTATGGGGAATATGGTATGAAACGTTTAGCAAGTATTCACAGCAGGAGACCACAACGTTCCAAGTCATTAAAGAAAAAAATGGGGAGGGTGGGACTGAAACAACCAGAAAGAAAGAGTTTAAAATGGCTACACAAGCTAGAATAGAAATATGCTTCTGCTCACGTGGACCACTGTATACTGTCAGACCACTGGTCTATCAAGAATGGCATTGTCTACTCTGACTGGCAGCTACTCTTCTGCATCTCATGCAGAGTCTCGGAGTCTTTCGCATTATCCACTACCTGATCCTTTTGAATGGAGATGCTGCGGACTAAATTTGGCATATGGTTTACTACTGAGCCACAGCCTCTTCCCTAAACTAACTCAGTAAAACTGCAACAAGCAATTAAATAAATTCAATTTCATCTTGCCTGTACTGTATTATAAAAGAAACCATTTGAAATGCTATTATCCCATTTAAACTGATAATCCTAGGATTTTTTTTTTCATTTTTAAATTTCATTTTACAGAATTTATGCCCTGCCTTTCTGACCTCATAATGCTCACAAAGATGGCTAACACATAAAAAAAATCTTTAATAATAATTCCCTTATGTATTGGCCATTTCCAGCTCTCCATTTGCTGTGCTGTGCGCTCCATCAGCCATTGGCCCATCAACTGCCACTCAAGAGTAATTGTGTGCCATTGGCTGGGTGCTGGGTCCATTCTTCTTTTCCACCCACTGCCACCTCAACCACTGTTCCCTGTCAGAATAACTGTCAAAAGGCTGTCTCTCCTGATGAAGACACTTCCCCTGCTTGGCTCCTGTTTGACTAACTTTTCCCTCAGTGGCTGTCGCTATGTAACCAAGATTCGGTCTGTCAGTAAAAAGACAAAGGATTTAAGCCCTTTCCAGGCTTTTGTGGGGAATTCATTGGGGCCAGTCCTGACTAGGGTTGCCAGCTCCAGGTTGGAAACTTTGAGGGATGGAGCCTGGAGAGAGTGAGGTTTGAGGAGGGGTGGGACCTCAGACAGGTACAGTGCCATAGCTCTACCCTCCAAACCAGCCATTTCCTCCTGGGGAACCATTGTTGCCAATCTCCAGGTGGGGGCTGCAGATTACACAGAATTACAACTGCTCTCTAGGAGGGAGGAGGAGGAGCAATGCTCCCTCTAAGCTGTGGAGTCTTGTGAGCAAAAATTCTACATTGTGAGCTATTGGCATTAAAGATGTGAGCGAGTGATTTGGCTACTGCATAAATTAGTTTGCTCTGGAGCCATCCTTCCTGAGCTAAGACAAAGATGTGTGAGCCATAGGCTAAAAAACTGTGAGCTAGCTCACACTAACTCAACTTAGAGGGAACACTTGAGATGGAAAGCTGAAGTCAGAGGGGCAGATAAAAGTAGGTTGATGGTTGGCTGGGAGGGTGATAGGGTTGCCAGCTCCTTATTGGGAAATTCCTAGAGATTTGAGGGGTGGAGCCTGGAGATGGTGAGGTTTGAGGAGGGGTGGGACATCAGGTACAATGCCATAGACTCCACCCTCCAAACCAGCCATTCCCTCCTGAGGAACCATTGTTGCCAATCTCCAGGTGAAGGCTGGAGAACACTCAGAATTACAACTGCTCCTCAGGTAGCAGCAGGGGTCATTTCATAGAAAAAGAGCTGCAGGAGCTCAATAGAATACCTAATAGGCTATTAGCATAATAGCCCATTAGCATATGCCATGCCCCTTGACATCAATGGAAGTGATGTCAGAAGGGGAAGCAAAAGGGGGGGAGGCATCTTCAAAAGCCTCCCCTTCCCTTCCCCAGGTGGGCTGGGCGGGAATCGAAAAGAGAAGGGGTTTAAAATGGCAGGTGAGCTGGGGAAGGAGAGGTGAAGCTTTTAAAGATGCCTCCCCCCCTAAACTTTAACCCCCTTCTCATTGGAGTTGCACTGCAGCAGTGGCAGGATCTTCCCATTGTCCTGAGGATGGGACTCCCACCCCCCCGGCAAGGAGCAACACCACCCCCACAGGACCTGAGAGATGCACCACAACCCCCCTGGCACTCACCTGGGAGGCAAGACGAGCTGGGAGGGAGCCCGGGACAGTGGGATGGGCAGAGCTGCCGCCAACACCAGCCCTCATTGAATCCCCAGTGGGAGATGTCAGTGCAGCCAAGATGCAGCGTGCCGGGAAAGAGATGATCATGCCGGGCCTATGCCCTGGCGCAAGAGCACGCCCACGCAGCAGAGCTAGGAGGCCCAGGGGAGAAGAGACGGAAGCCAAAGGGACCCCACCCCTGGAGCCACATCGGAAGCTTTGTAGGGGGGCGGGGCCAGGGAGGGGAACAGCCCCGGGGGGAGCAGGGCACACTGGGAGAGGGGAGGAGGATATAAAAAGGGAAGAAGGAGAGGAGGCTGGGGATAACTCCTGTATGACAGGGTGAAGCCGAGAGAGAGGGCACCCCATCCAGCAGGGCCGGAAGGAGAGGGAAGTTGACGCAACCTCCCTCCCTCGTCCAGGTGTCTGAGGCCACAATACTCCTTCCAGACAGGAGGGGAAAGGCATCGTGGCTGGGC